TGTTTTTCTATCTCTCCCTTCCTCTCTCTAAAAATCAATAAATATATCCTTGGGTGATCATTAAAATAAGAGAGAAAGATCACCAAATCCCACTTGTCTAAGCATTCCCCAGTTAAGCTCCTAATTTGAGAAACATGAGGACTAAGCTGATTTCATTCAAGCATGCTTGATGTATTTTAACCTGCTCAGCATTAAATCAGATACTTTGGGTCTATAAGCCATTTGGCATCAAAGGAAAGTTCTCTGCCCAAATCCTTGACTGAGGCAGAAACCTATTCTCCGTGTTCTGTTTATGTAAGGGGAGGATAGCTCAGATGTGGCCTCAGGTTGGCTCAGGAGCTATGACTTTGCCCAGATTTGCAACTGAAGACTAAAACACACAAGGACCTCAAGCCATCTTCCCCAAGTCTCTGAGGGAGTGCTGGTGGCTTGACCAGGATGTTGGAGCCCTCCTCCTGGCCAATGGGCCCCCCGACCACCAGACCACACAGTTGGTGCTTAACGGGCACTCAGCAAACCTCAAGCTCCAGGCCCGAAGAAGCAATTTCCAAAAACAGAGCCCCCTTTGTGAACAATTCAGCAAAAATTCTCTCTCCAGCTGTGAGCTGGGATTCATGTCACAAATGTTGGTGTTAATTAAAAACATCCACCTTTTCAGTTTCAACAGTAAGAGAAAAGCACCATGCAGATGGGATTTCAGCATTCTCTCCCCAGAGCACTTACAAATACGACTGAGTTTATGACCGGGTGCAGGGGGTTCATTCTTAATTTTCAGTTCCTCAAAAGGAGATGGATGTGATGCGTCCAAATTGGCACAGAGGAAATTGGCATCAGAAGAAACAAGAGCCCGGCCAGTGTGGCTCAGTGGCTGAGCATCAGCCTATGAATCAGGAGGTCACAGTTTGATTCCAGTTCAGGGCACATGCTCAGATTGCAGGCTCGATCTCAAGTAGGGGGCATGCAAGAAGCAGCTAATCAATGATTCACTCTCATCGTTGATGTTTCTATCTCTCTTTCTCTTGCTCCCTCTCTAAAATCAATAAAAATATATTTTTAAAAAGAAGAAGAAATAAGAATACTGTTCCTATCCAGAGCATCAGGAAAGATTGTTCAACTTCCTGTGTTAGTATCAGGAACTTGACCTAGATGAAATCAGATGTTTATCTGCTGAGTCATTAAAAATTGTCTTCACATCACCTACATCCTTCAGATATGAAGAAAATGAGGTGTGAGAAGGCCAGGGACATTTTGTGAATTCAATAACTGGAATGTGAGATTGATCATACTTCCCTACATTCTTATTGCAGTTCTCACTTTTATTGGGAAAATGTTATCCGGAATGATCCCGAGCTAATGAGATCAGCAAGACATAGTTGCATCCCTTCCTGAGCTTCTGCGGTTGGTTCATTTGTCCCGCTTCACACAGGCATCAGACAGGTAAAGAATCGAGCCACACCCACATCGTTATAAATGAATTTGTCTTTAATCTCACACAGTTTAAAATACAATATGAAATCAGGCTACAGTATATAAAAAACTCTCCAGCAAAATGATGTGCCAGCATCAGCTACTAAAATACACAAACAAAAACTCCCCCCATAAGAAATTTTTTTTGCATTAAAAAAAAACACATAGAAGACACTTACATCGCTACATCTCTAAGCTACCTCAGTTCTGATTTTTAAAAAGCACCTGCTTTTCCTTTTTTTTTTTTTCATCTTGCTTTTAAATGTTCAGCTTTTTAAAAAATATAAATTATATGAAAATACAAGTTGGAAAATAGTCAAACACAATATAACATCTTTTTTTACCCCTATATTTCTCAGCTTACAAAAAAAAAAGTATTCTTAAAAAAAGTTCAATAACTGAGGCAGTATTCCTGATAGAGATAGTTTCATTTCCATATATAACTTCATATATGTATCTGGATACATATACTTAATGGTTCCTTGAAACTTCTTTGGAATGTAGATAAGAGCTAACACGTTTATATAGACCCCAACGGAGAAAGCAGCATGCACAGCATGGCTAGAAGAGAGGGGGTGACCTTTGCACCCTGAAGACAGGCAGGTTAATGCTCTAACACCCAGAGAGCTCCTTTCCAAAGTGAGGAACAGCACATCTGATCCTGGAATGCTACCTCCAATCCCCATCGCCACCCAACGGGGCTCCGTACAGAAAAGTCCCAGGGCGACCTCTGACCCCACAGCCAACAATGACCTGGGTGAAAGCATCTCCAAGAAAACAAGGATTTCCCCCAGCTACATCAGATTTGCCCATCCTTCCTCTGAAGCTAACGTGTGTGTGTTTGTGTGTTTAAAAAAAAAAAAAAAAGCATAAATGCAACAATTCTGCTGCATTTCCAGTGTATAAACCACCCACCACTCTTCCTGGGATGGTCTCTGGCCTTTGGACAAAAGGAGAAAAAGGCATCTGGCCAGATCCACAAAGCGATCTTCACTAACAAACTACCTATAAATACTGAAAATGGTGGACCTGCGGAGAAAGGCTGTGCAGCGAGCAAGCGGGCTGGGGAGCGCGGGAGGCACTTGCTTACATCGGAGCTGCTGGGGGGTGGCTGCAGGGGTTAGACACTCGCCCAAGGGGAGTTTGGGGTATCCATGGATCAGGAAAGGTTGATGAGTTGGGAAAGCCATTGTATGCCTGGTTGCAAACAGCAAGCCATGACTTATGACACAGCCTTAATTTTACCTGTACCCGTTACTGAAACGTGGAAAGGCATACCTGGAAAACCCAGGTATTATCTTAGCTGCAGTTGTGCATGTCTGCAAACACACAGGCACATGCATGCATATACTTGCACACGCTCACACATGCACGCACACCTTTGCCTGTGCCCAACAAAGATCAAATAGCCTAAGAGAAAACCATGGAGTCCAACAGTTCTGCCTACCCTCCCTGAGCAACTCCTAAAACATTTTGAGAGCTTCATTAAGGCACCTGCATTTGGAAGAAGATCAAAATACACAGCTGGGCGGATTCTGCCTTGGCTTTTCATGTAAGTGCTCTGCTTTATCAGCGTGAGTCAAGGTCTGCAAGAGGACCTGGAGAAAACCATCCACTTTCCTGAAGATCCATCAGAGGAGGTTAGCACTTCCAGTGTCTCTGCTAGAGCCCCGAGAAGCCAGCCCTGAGAAGCCCACCTTAACCGCTTCTTCCTCGCTCACTGCAGTCTGCAGAGCCCTCCCACTGCCCGCGTCCTTTTTAATTGGGCATCTCTGTCTTGGTGGGGATTCTGATTGAACGAGGGTCTTGTCCTCACTAGTTCAATGTTGGTCCTCCCCCCAACCCAAAACCCCATTTTCAGATTACCCTTCGCAACTGCCTCGGTTGTTTCCATCATGGGGGAACTAAAAATATATTCACAGCTCATGGACCACCTCATTGTCTTCATTCAAGCTCCTTTTCTTATGTTTCCTTTGCCTTCTGGTCATTCCTCTCTTCTGCAATTATGAGCCTTCACGTACCCTGTGCCACGACAGTGGTCCAAGTACAAGACCCGAACAGCAGCTTCACCATTTGCTCTGCATGCACGGTCTTAACTGGATGGACGCTCCACTCAACTAACCTAAGTTCTTCAAAGGAAAGCCTTGCCCTTCTCCTCGGGAAGACAGCCAAGCCACCTTTTGCCTCAAGGCACCCATAATTTCCATTGCTCCAAACACCCAATGCGTCACAATGGCCTTATCAGACACTCTTCAACTCATGTCTGCTGTCACTCGTTTACTCCCCAATCAGAAAGCTTTACATTTCTCTGCACTGAATAGGAGTGGGGGGGAAGCAAGAAATATGGGAGGCTGAGAGGATGAGACATAAAAGATAAAGTGTTAGTCGGGAGTAACATGCATTCAGGACTTAACTTCCTAAGATCCGAGGGGTAATGCCCATGCACACAGCTTCGATTCGGGTCAGAGGAAAAGAACCAGTAAAGGACCAAGTCCACCTTCCTCCTCAGATATCCTTTCCAACAGCGCTCCAGATTCACTGTAGTCCTCAACCAGGGCTGCCAAATACATTCAAGTTCAAAGCTTAATGCTTCTCAGCTCAACATTAAGTCTAAAGCCCAAGAATCCACTCATGACAAATACATCAAGGGGCATGATGATCACTTTTGGAAAAAAAAAAAAAAAAAAAAAGATGACATTCACAGGCACAGGTCCCTTGTCCCCAAATCAGCATCCTTTGTTCCTTCATCTATAAAGCCACCGGGATCTGAGGTCCAATCTCAGTGACAGCACTTTGCCTTTCCAGTGGGGTCTATATAAACAGTTTCCTTTCACTGTGACAGAATCCTCAGCTGGCAAATAAAAACAATCTTGCAATGATACTGAATACTGAGACCACCTTAGAGCTTAAGACGATTTTTAAGGAGAAAAAAAAAATACTGGCACAAGATTTAATAAAATAAATTTCAACACAAATACAGTTTTGGTCCTTCCCCACTGAAGTCCATCTTTGTTTTAAAAGTAGAGTAAAAGGTAAATAGTCCTTGGGTTTTGTGCTCTTCCTCCCCAAATTGTCCTACCCTCACCTCCCTCTTTTTTGCCCGCCCAGACCTAAAAACAAGCAAATGAATTGCCCTTCATCCATGTCATGACCCCTGATGCCTCCATTGCTTATGCTACGTAAGTTCATAACTTGAGGCACTTTTTTCATGGATGATTTTTAAAAATGATCAGACACATGCATCTTGTCCTCCCTCCAGCCAGATTCTTCAAGCTTCTAAGGAGACCTTTCTCTCTCCTACAAATTTTCTTGAGAATTTGTCCCACCCACCCCACCAGTCCTAGCTCTCCTTTGCCAACCACTCATAATTGACTATAGCTGAAATTCACTTAGCTCCCACCCCTGAATGTAAAAAAAAAAAAAAAAAAAGAGTCTGAAAATTAAAAATAGAATAACAATTAAAAATGAAGAGTCCAACCAACGTGGGTTTTTGAAATGTTTCAACAGAGTTTTCCTGGTGCCCTAGGTGCCTGTCACTCGTCAGCGTCTGGCTTGACATCCAGCATGGCGTGGAGCTCCTCAGGCGTGTATCCCAGGAGGCTCTGCAGGTCACACACAAAGCGGTAAACGTAGCGCTTGCCCGCCGTCTTGTGGATGATGTTTTTGTCATAGTAGTAGCGGAGGCCACGGCTCAGTTTCTCATAATTCATCTTGGGCTTGTTTTTCCTTTTCCCCCATCTCCTGGCCACCTGAAATTAAAAATGGGGGAAGAGGGTATAAAAACCTATAAAATAATCCAAATATGCATGTTGATATGCCTATAGCCATTCATGATGACCTATGATGTTTAAGGCAGTCCAGGTAAGAGGTTCATGTACATGGAGGATATTCTCCTAACTGATCTCTCCTGAACACCAATGTAAAGGGTCAGGCAAGGGTGGCTGGACCAGGTAAGAGGTTCATGTACATGGAGGATATTCTCCTAACTGATCTCTCCTGAACGCCAATGTAAAGGGTCAGGCAAGGGTGGCTGGACCAGGTAAGAGGTTCATGTACATGGAGGATATTCTCCTAACTGATCTCTCCTGAACGCCAATGTAAAGGGTCAGGCAAGGGTGGCTGGACCGCTGAATCTAAATTGATGAAAACATAGTAACCTTGGACTTCTACATAATGGAATTAAAAAACAACAACAACACAACAAAGGAATGCAACACTGTAGACTCTATTCCATCCCTGTATCATTAAGAGAATGTTACTGGCATGGCAAGGGGGCTCAGTGACTGAGCATTGACCTATGAACCAGGAAGTCACAGTTTGATTCCTGGTCAGGGCACATGCCCTGAGTTGTGGGGTTGATCCCCCAGTGTGAGGTGTGCAGGAGGCAGCCCATCAATGATTCTCTCTCAGCATTGATGTTTCTATTTCTCCCTTTAAAATCAATAAAAAATATTTTTTAGAAAGAGAGAGAATGCCCCTGCTTTGAAAGCAGGAGCGCTCATCTGAGGAGCTGGAGGAGCGCTGAGCTGCAGCCATGCCTGCCCTTCAGCAACAGGATGCAGGTTTCTGTTCTGGAGCACGATTCTTCTCAGGTATGCCACACACAGTGGCTGGTTCTCCATTTTTTATCCTCTGAATTGGGCATGGCAGCGAGCAACCACTCACTGAGCATTTGTTGCATCAAAGAATGGATTAATGAACAAATTGCACCCATTTTTCCAAAGCCTCTTGATTTGTATGAGCCCTTTCAGATTCACAGAGCCCAGAGGCTAGGAGGAGGACTACGTAATAGAAGGCAACTCCTATTCACAAAGAACAACTATGTGCCTGAGACCTAGGTGCGTCACATCAGGCATTCCAAGAACAATGGGCAAGGTAGAGATTTTTTCTATTTTCCAAGTGAAGAAACTAAGGCTCAGATGGGCTATGCAACTTGCAGGAGGTCACACAGGTAGCAAGTGGCAGAACTGGGGTTGGAATCCTAGAAAATGTCATCGGAATCACACAATCTCTTCCAGAGTTCTCTCTGGCACGGCACTCTTGGCTCCCTCCCTCCTTACCTCATCTGGGTCAGAGAGCTTGAATTCCCAGCCATCTCCTGTCCAGCTGATAAAAGACTGACAGGACTTATCAGTGAGTAATTCCAGAAGAAACTGCCACAGCTGGATCGGTCCACTGCCTGGAAACACAAGGCATTGACTCATCACTCCAGAGGCCCAGCCTTCTCGGCCCCGGATCCCAGGACCCAGCTCTCCCTCTCCCCTGTCCATCCAGCCAGGAGAAAAGGCGGGCAACATACAGGACACAGGGAGGAGGCGCTATAGCTCACACAGACGGAGGAGGGGAAGATAGTCCCACCCAGAGGAGAAGAAAAACACAAGACAATATAGCAACTGCCTTCTGTGGAATGGCTGAAGGGTCAGGCCACGTTTACTGCTAAACAAACTCTAGGAAGAAAACACAGACTCTATCCTCTAAGGCAACATAGTCCTTTGTGCCTTTACAACTAAGTCATTTTGCCTCAAGAAGTGAAAAAAGGTATTAACCAAGGAGTGTCCGTTGCCAGTTCCAATCAGAAGGCAACCCTCATAAGCACTCCTCTCTAGAGGGAGTCTTTGGCCCCTGATTTGCAAGAGGGAAGATCACTATCCTAGGCTTACATAACAAGGACTTAGGTCATCATACTCCTCTCCAGCACCATCCTGTCCTCTCAGGTCACGTACAGGCAAACATCCAAACAGAGAGAGGAAAGAATCAAGTCTTCACTTCGTGAGGAATGAAGTTGCCACCCAGAAACCCTCGAAGGTCGGGTGATGACTATTAAATTCTTCCTGGGTCTAGTATATTCTAATTTACACACACACACACACACACACACACACACGCACGCACATCCTCTTGTCTTAGCCAACAACACTGCCACTGTCATAGTTCTAGAAGGCCTGGCATATTCTGAATGCCAATTTATCTTATACTAAAAGATTCCTGCTACATAGATTTCCCTTTAGGATAAGTTTTTATTCAGAAATGACAATGCTGTCCTGGGAAGTGTGGCCCCATTGATTGGGTGTCATCCCGTGCACTGGGGAACATGCCTGGGTTTCATTCTCAATCTCAGTGGAAGGGTTTGGGGGACCCATCAGATGGATGTTATGTTTCCCCTATCACATTCTCTCTCTTTTCCTCTCCCTTCCTCTCTCTCTTAAAAACCAATTTTGAAAATCTTAAAGGACAATGGTGACTGATTCCTATGACCCATGAGTGCACCAGAGAGAGAAATACTGGCTCAAGAGGCCATGCCTCTTGTGCCCTCAAACCATCTCAGAAGCCAGGGCAGGACTGAGCGCACCCAGCCCATGCAGGTGCAGGAAGCCTGGGATGCTCCAACTCACATCGAAAAGCCCGGCTTTTTAAACTTCCAACCCTTCACCTGAGTTTCAGATGTGACTGATCCAAAGTAAACGGAGACCCAATCAAACACAAGCTTTGGGTTGGTTCCCTCCCCATCTAAAAAAGAAATGTCCTCTACGATCGATCAGGGCAACCTCTTCCTCTACCTTTCAGGTCCACAAGGCCAGTGCATATGCATCACGTTGCTCGCTCCTAAAGTCCACCGCCCACTCCTCTGTACCTAAAGCACAGCGGCCTAGTTGTTCCCATTCTATCTGTGAAAAAGGAGCTTAGGATAGTCCCGTTAGAAAATGGTGTTTCCGGACCCAGTGTCCAGGCCATCAGACTCCAGGCACAGGGCCACCTGGACAGACCCCTGTGAGGAAGCAGTGACTGGCGTGGGCTGTGATCTGCCATCTGGAAAGTGCTCCTTTGCTAACTGCTTCCTCGTGGTGGGCCCAGCGCTCCTCCCCTGCACTCCCCACGTGAAACACGGAACCTGAACTATCACTGCCTCCTCCCTCAAAAAGGCACCTTGAAATTGTCTTGCAAGAAATACCTTACCCATCCTAGAATGAAACGCGTCAGCAAAGGCCTACAAAACAAATGAACTTTAGAAAATACAGGGCTGGACGACGTAAGCCTTATCCTCCTTCATCTCCATCCCTCCTGGAAAAACCACTGAGTAGGCCACTCACAGACATTTGCATGTTTCTTATAAGTTGAGTTGAAATCATCAGCTAGTACTCCCTACCTGGGCTCATTGAACTAACGGCAACATTATGTGAGGAAACCATTGAAAAGCCACCCTGATGGACAGAAGGTGTAAGAAGACAAATCTCTATGGAGAGATGCTGTGGAATTTGTGTTAGAGGAAAAAAAAGCAGCTGCAACATCTCTTATGATATAATAGGCTTCCTGATGAGGTACAAAATGGCTATACACCCACCAGGACCCCCAAGGAGAGACAGAAAGAGAAAGATCAACTGCCCCAGATTTATGTAAATGAGCCCTGGAATCTGCTGTCCTCATGTGAGTCAGATCCCCAGACCACAGATACAGGACAGAGGGAGGAGCTGCTTGAAGAACCTGGCAGAGTGCAATGCTCGCAAGTGCTATGATTTCGTGCACACCTACTATGCACAGGACACCGTGTTGATGCTTACACCCTTCTCCCTTACTATTCACAGTAACCACATGGGAACTGCTACTGTGAACGTGTTTCTTCTTCCCATGTTACAGCACAGAAAACCTTTCGGCATGCCCATCGGCGTTGGCCAAAGCCACTCACAAAAGAAGTGGAGTGGCTGTGATGAAACCCACGCAGCCTGACCCCCACATTCTGAGCTCAATACCACATTCACCCCAGAGAAGACCGCCTGGAGCCTGACATTGAATTGGCCTGCCCAGTCACATGAATCCAAGGGATAAAAGGACCAGGTTTTAAAAAACACCTTCTCTTCCTCACCTATTCCAGCAGCCACAGGATGACGGACAGCCAGGGACCTTGGCGTCCACCTTCACAGTCACTCTTCCAGCCCAGTTGGTTAGGTCCCCTGTGTTAGCTGTTCGTGTCATTCCTTCTCCCTCCCACCATTTACCTTAAAAGCTCCCTCACAATTTATCTTAAAATCCCTTTGGGGAGGAGAAGGCTAGTGATACCAACTGGAAGAACGGGAAGGAAGTACCAGCTTCTACCCGGGCAAGTCCAAGTCCAAGAGGGGAGGGCTCAGAAGCCCTCATGCCACCTCTCGGCTGGGAAGCCTTAATGTAGAGAGGGGAACTAGTTCCCATCCAGGATCCAGTCCTAGAGGAAGGGTCGCACACAGAGGGCCTGTCGCTGGTCTTCCTGCCTGTGCCATTCTCTGGACTGAAGTATCCGCCTGGGCAGCATCTGCCGGGCCACAACCCCACTCTGTAGAGCTGAGCCCTGGTGTCTGCACACAGGGTCGAAGCCAGGGTGAGGCCCAGTCTACAAGGAGCTATTTTCACTGTGGGTTCGCCTTTGTCCATAAAGAACATCACACTGTGACATTCGGGAGCCAGAGCCCGGGTCCGGGAGAGCCCTGAGCTCTAGTCTTTTCTCCTATTGATACCAAAGAGAGGCGGGATCAGAGACAGGAGAGGCAGATGCCTGAAGCAAGCACAGGACCTGGGGAGGGGACTGTCAGCTGCTCAGCTTCACAGTACCCCAGTCAGCACAGCGGTGTTCGGCTGCCTCTTTCCTCCAGGCCTTGAGGAAAACTATTGTGAGCTACTCAGTGTAGAGGGGCACCCATGGCTCTCAGCCTGGGCTTCCTGCAGGCCACTGCCTACCCTTCAGAAAGCCCATGTGGTGTGCTGAGCCCTGAATGGCCTCTTAGGTGTGGAAGCAGCAGAAACAGGAAGCACATGGAATCTTCCCCCAGCAAGAAAGCCCCAAGGTGGGCTTGGACTAGTGGACAGCCTGACACACGATCCTATTTCCACAACCACAACGTGTCCTCCTCACTTCCGGTCGGGAAGGCGATCCAGGGCCACCTGGAAGCCCACAGGTTGGAGGGAGCTCTGGGCTGAGGGTGTACACTAACTCTGTAGACCCTCTCCCCCCACAGCAACATCCAAGTCTAGGAGCCTCATGTGCCCCAGACGTGTGCAAACACTCTGGATGCGGCCAGCACTCTGAGCGACAGGCCCGCCCACTGGTGTTTCTGTGTGGCTTGGTGTAGGTCCCCAGGGCCCAAGGGCTCCGTCCCTTACCCTTGCTTCAGCATATCCTAACTTTGCAAAGTCTTCCTTTCCATCCTTCCTGCACCACCTCTCATGCAGTGGCCCAGCCCCAGCCAGCCACCCCACCAGACTGGGGTCCCGGTGACCTTTGTCCCAGGGAGCAGAGAACGGTGCTAAGAATAGTGTCCATCATGGGCCGAGGGAGCTCACAGACTAAATGTGACTCACAATGGCGTCCCTGTCTGGGGGCCCCGGGCCGTCAAGGGCGGCCTTCAACAGGCCGCCCGGGGTGTCACGCATCAGGAATCCGGTGGCATCACTGGGAGACTATGCCTCTCAAGTCGCAGCTCTGAGCCACAACAACAGAAGGGTCCCTGTTAGAAGGAAGCCTCTCTCCAAAGAAGGGGGGGAGGAGGCATCGCACACACCCACACCCACCCAACCCAACCCCCTGCGCCTCCACACCCTGCGTCTGTCTCCTCCTCCTCCTCTGGCTGCAGAAGGGGGATTTCCCCTGCCTGCTTTGTTCTTCTTGGCTCTGGGTACAAGGAAAATTCCTAGTACAACACTCACAGTCCTGATTTGAAGAACTTGATACAACCCAGAAGAAGCAATATGGGGTGGGTACCTGGAGGCATTGACCAACAGCCAATCCCATGAGAGTGTTTCCCTCCTGAGTGGATGCTCAAGGGAACTTCCAATCCAAGGCTACAATCTCTCCTTCCTCTCTCCCCCACACTTCTCTTAAAGACAAAGCTTCAGGTAAATTCCTCCTCATTCTGGTCACATGTTAAGCCCCCTCTCTCCTTGTTAAGCCACTGGAAGGCCTGCCAATACATCTCCATGAGAGTTGGCTGTTAGAAAACACCAACCAACCAACAACAAAAACCCCTGCTGTTTTGCTTTCATACTCTGAATCTAAGAAGTGAGCAACTTAAATATATGGAATGGGTTAGAAAAAAATATTAGTGAGATGCTCTGGACAAGTGAGGTGGTCATTTGTCAGTATCTCTCCCCCCATTGTCCAGGCTCGGAGGTTGCCTGCCATGTCCATGAACTCGCCCTTAGTGAGTTCCAGGT